GGGGGGGGGGGGGGCGGGGGGGGGGGGGGGGGGGGGGGGGGGGGTAGTTGCAGGTGCTGAGGGTGGGGGACAGGAAGGCTGCAGGGGGAAATAATTGGGGGGGGCAGAGGATAAGGGGTGCACCTGACTTCCCCCACCCCTCCCCCCGCTACTGCTTTTCCTGCTGTAGCCGTTGGGGAGGAGGGGTGCAGATTCAAGACAACCTCCCAATACTTAGGTTCTGTACTTGGAATATTATAACAAATTTATAAATTTGCCATGTATAAAATCTAATGATTGGAGGGAGTTGTCTTAAATTAGGGGTCATCTTAGATTTGAGTAAATACAGTATTTCAGTTTTAAACAAACCCACAGAGGTAACTCCTGGATCCCCAAATTTCTAGTTCTGGCTCTAATTAGCATCTTCTCATCTTGAAACTGCCACGTCTGCTTCATTTTAAGTGGCCGCATTTTGATCAAATCTCTTGCTACAGCTTGAGACAATGGGGCTAAATTGTGTTTCTTTAGCCCTCAAACTAAACAGAAAGCCAAGTTTCTCTGAGTTTTTGGCAATGGTCTCAGCAAAAACTGCTGCAACTTCAAAGGCAGCAGACGTAGATTGAAACCAGAGTGTATTCTTTTTGTCATCTGGCTTTCTACATAGAATATCTTAAATGCAGAGAGGTCTCTTCACCTCACAGAGGCAAGAGTATATATTAGGACTTGTTTTTGAAACAGGGGGCCAAACGGTATTTTATGACAAGAAACACATTTTAACATCTCGGTCTTGGATGGAACATGACTCTTACATTCTTCTGACCCATTTTGCTGTGCAAAAGTTAAAGAAAATCATAAAAGAGCCATTGGCATCACTGGGGCTCAAGACATTTACCTTGAACCTCCCAGCAAGATGACTAAGCTTAGTAGCCAAACCGTTCTGCCCTACCCTGCCCTGCCCCCAGCACTTTACAGGAATGTAACGAGGGTCACAAAGGGAAATGTGGATCCAGGCATGTCGACAGATTATGGAAAAATGCGCTTGCACTTCTCCCCTGGCTGAAGACTGGGTATTTTTTTGAAACTGGAGACCTTTCTTTTTTATTGTAGAAAACAACATTTTTCCATGATTCATGGAGGTGTCTTTATTAGTATGTCTCTTGAGAGCCTGGAAATATTAATGGGACCTATCTGGATACGTGTGCCCATGAAAGTGCTTGAATTAGAGATCCTAAGTTCATGGTTTCTTCAGGTTTAATTTAGTTTAACAAGTCTCGCCATGGTGGGATAAAGAAAATATAAAATATTGAAATAACATTCAGTTCTTTGTTACTGATCTAGTATTCCTGCAGTGTAAAGGGTTTTTTAAACCTTGCTGCGGTAACACTTGCGTGGGGAAAGTCCTGGTTTCCTAAATCAAGTTTGTCCGTATGGAATATGTTCAAAGAACAGACGGTTCGTTTAAGAACCGAAGTTACCCAGTATCTCTTGTTTTCTAAACCTATTGCTCAAACGAGCTATAGATCTAATGCAGTATATCCATCAACCTGTCTGGCAGGCCTAAGAAGCTGACGCTAAAAGGTTATAAACCGTATTGGTGCACCTTCAAAGATACCTCTATTTCCTGCTATAAAAGCAAAGAAGAATCCAATGGGACCCCAGCTCACCAAATGAACTTAAGAGGTAAGGAAACCTCTTTTGATAACTTTATCCAAAACAAGTCTGCTACTGTTGTTTTTTATTCTTTAGAAATCAGTAGTGTTGAATTTTATAGAAGAAAAACATGGGGCACAGAGAGAGAGAGAAATCTCGCTGAAGAAGTGAACTGTGTGGATCAGATGTACATTGGAAAACTTAGCCTAGTTTTCTACAGTGCAACTATTCAAAGCTCATTGTTAACGTCTGTAATTATCTGAACCATAGGTCTGACTTTACTGTAAAGCAAAAATAGGTTAAGAAGTATATGGTATATACACTTTGTAATTTTACCTTTTGTTATGAAAGCTATTTAAAAATGAAGTATATAGTCAGCCTTTAAAAACAAGTTAGGACCAGCGAATAGGGTTTGTGGGTTTGTGTATCAGTGCTTTCTCCAAACGCAACCTTCTATTCTCTCTGTGGGCTTCCAAATCTTAATCGGATGCAGTCTATAAAGCTTTCACGTTACGTTAAAAAATCCTAATGCTACTGTCCCTTATAGCCAGAAGTAACATATTCCTACTTGGAGAGTTACGAGGCAGCAGAAACTGTGGACATACTTCATTTTTTACCATGGAGGCAATAGCCGACAGGCTGCCAAATGATCTCACACTACAGTTACAGAGATGTGCAGCCTGGAATAGCCTAGAATACCTTTTTGGGAGCTTTTGCCATAGCTGCTTCTGACGGCATTTTAAAAGAATTCTGGAGACTTGACTTGAAGCTATGCCCACATGATCTTGGATGTTTCAAGAAATTGGAGTCCTCGTAACTCTAACGCTGAATATAAAAAAATTAAATGTTAAAGAGACTGGAATTTAGGGAAAGTAGCACCTTATCCCTAAAGACAGAAGTACCATGCCCCGTCAAAATAATGTCATAGGATGACTGGTTTAGATTACTGACACACAACCCAACACCCAAGGTAGTTTTTTCTTCCTCTTTTTTCTTCCATTGGTTTGGAAATGATTCACTGCTGAACCCAACATGTTAGAGTCTAGGGTCTAATTCAGGCAGTTGGCAAAGTCCAACAGTGTAGTCTCACACTATTTTCTGTTGCGTCACATCCATTCCAAGCTGGCAAATAGCTATGCCTTTCAGCCAAAGCCATCAATCTGTTCTCCATACTGTGTTTTGTGGTCATTGTCTAATATTCTGCCTCAGCTTTGGAAACAAAATGTAGCATATATTTTACTTCTGTGGTGTCTTAAAACCATCATATAACTGAAATATCATTCAATACCCTTAGATTAGAAATCTATTTTTTGAAGCCTGTGTGTATTTGTGCACACTTTAATCTCTGGTTTTTATTACAGGCTGTGAGGTTACCCCTGATGTAAACATCTCTGGTCAGAAGTTTAATATCAAACTTCTCATTCCAGTTGCGGAGGGTATGAATGAAATCTGGCTTCGCTGTGATAACGTAAGCGTTTTGCTGGGACTGCCTATGTATCTTGCCTTCTGCTTGCTTCCACTCATCCTCTACACTCAGTTTTCCTTTTATTAAAAAAAGCAAACCAAAGAAACAAAATGTACAAATGGAAATGCTCGGTGGCAGTCCTTGAAATGATGCATGTTTTCCTTAATTCCCTTGTCCTAAGCAACGTACACATTTTTGTATTCCGCCTGTTCTGATTCTTTCACTGAAAAATGCAATGAGCCTCTGTCCACGTGGGCAAGATGATGCTGATGACATGGACCTTCCCTTGAATTCCAGGAAAAGCAGTATGCGCACTGGATGGCAGCCTGCAGGCTAGCGTCCAAGGGCAAGACCATGGCAGACAGCTCCTATAACCTGGAAGTTCAGAATATCCTGTCATTTTTGAAGATGCAGCATTTGAACCCAGACCCACAGCTAATGCCAGAGCAGATCACAACGGACATTAATCCCGAATGCCTGGTGTCCCCTCGCTACCTTAAAAAGTACAAGAACAAACAGGTACTTGATTTTAATTGTTTTGTGGAAATCTTGCTTTTGACAATCCCGGCCCCCAGGTCTCTTAAAAAAAACAATTAGTGGTATGGCAAAATTCTCAGGGACACCTACATGGCTGGCAATTCACCCTAACTGTAGCAGATGGTGCTGCATTTTAACAGCAGTTACCCACCGTGTTTCTAAAAATCCTGTGTTGAAAATCTAATTTCTGGTTGTGATTGAAATTAAGAGACAAAAGCTTATCACATCAGTGATCTTAACTCTTCAGGCCACATTATCTAATAAAAGGTACTGAGTTTTTTCTCTGAGATGACGAGCAGTAGCAATCTACCAAGAGTTTGATCAGTGGGGGTCGGTGGTTTAAACACATTTTTAACTCCTTTTCACTGCATCGTGGTGTAAAGTGACAATGCCTGCGCGGTTCCAATAATTAAAAAAGGAAGAAATATGTACCTCTGAAAACAATCATTCGTTTTAAAAAATGGGGATTTTTACTCTTTGAATGCTTGTAGCTATTCATTGCATGGCAGAGTCAGACTGTTTACGATGGAAATAAACACACACTGTATTTTCTTGCATACAACATGCCCCAGAATAAAATCCACACCTTGTTTTTGAGAATAGAGCGGGGGGGGGGATTTTTTTTCCCAGAATTATGGCTTTATAGAGCAATGACACCACTAAAAGGTCTGCAAGAATGTGAAAGAGACCAAGGAGGAGAAGAGACAGACCAGGAGTAGCTACCAGGAAGCAAGATTGCCTAAAGAAAGGTTAGCTTGATTAGCGGAACGCCGAGACGCTTAAAAAAGAGAGACTATTGTTAGCTAACACCTGTGGACTAAAGAACAATGAACCATTAAATCCGTTGACTCCCTGCGCTGCCTGCCGAGATGCCACCACTGCTGCTGGGCAGTTGGTTTTGAAGCAGGAATCAAAGTTGGGTGCTTCTGTTGTGGGCAGAAAAGTACTGGTAATCTTCCCCACTTAAGACTTGCACCCCAAATTGGAGCAACTGATTTTTGAGAAAAGGGTGTGCACTATGTGAGAAAATGCAGTATGCGGGTTTTACAAGGAAACGTGGTATTTTGGTACCAAAAAAAGAAATAAAGATTGATTGCTGGCTTCTGAGTGAGTTTAACTGAGGTATGCCACTCAAATAGTCAGTGCACCTGAATATGAACTCTGCGGATCAGGAAGGAAGTTGCCATTCAGAAAAGTGGGGAACTGCAGCTTCTATTGGCACATAAGAGCTGTGGAAAGGGAATCCTGCGATTCTCCTGGATAAGCCTTTGTATATCCACACAGATGGGGGAAGTTGGCTCATATCATGAGTTCTCGTATATAAAGCGTTGTAGACATAAACATTGCAAAAAGAACATACCTGAAAAAATATTTTCTTAGTATGCATTTGCGTTGATTTAAGAACGAATAGGTGCAACATTGGAGATGAGTAGGGACATTTAAAAATTGTAGAAAAGTCGCAATTAGTCCACAATTTATGATGGAAACTATTGATCCCCTTTGAAAATTAGCTGTGGTGAAAAATAACCTGTTCACCAAGGTAGTAAGGAACCTCAGCAGTTTTTCTCCTTTTTATGTTGTTTGGTTTCTTCCTCCTTGCTGGAGGTTACGTAAGGTTGCACTGAGAGAGTTGATCCTACCCGATGATGGGATGTAGGAGATGGGCATGGAGGAAGTGCGGCCCCAAGGGAATCCGTGAAACCTAGACTGGCGAGAGAGGAGCCCCAGACTGCTGGATTATATTGATCTGGTGTAATTGCCAGGGGAGAAATTCTTACTAAGTGCAAATTTATCTGGAATATACATTTACAACATCATTAAAATGATATTTCAGGTTTTCACTAATGCCTTCAACCTCGGTATTAGACCAGCGCTAGATAGGTCAATATGGACGTGCACATCCTGCAGACTGCCTTAATTACTGTATCAGTTCCATGGACGGAGGAGCGGTTGATACAGAAATACAGACATTTGATTTAAAAACCAACCTCCAGCCTGTTCATGTTACTCTAACCTGACATTATGTTAGGACAGGTTTGGGAAACGGGAAGTCAGTAAACAAAGCCAACCTGCTCGGAGTCCTGGGGCTCCCAGAGCAACACATGAATTGTTCTTGTGGCATCGACTCTGCTCGGAGCAGAGAGTTTCTGCTGTTTTACTTGTAAGAGAAATTCAATCTAGCTTAAACAGAAGATCTCCATTACAGTTGCAGTCCCTAGAGCAGGGGTTTCTTCCATGAACAGGTTGCATTAAAATTGCTGTTTTCTTTATTTCTGCTTTGCTTGTTTGATGTTAGCATCATGGACGGCACTGCGTGCTTTTCATTACATTCCAGGAGAAAAGGTAGCATGCGGATATGAAAAGAAAATACTTAAGTGTAACAGAAGCTACTCTTGCTTTTTTTAACAGCAAAACAGCTTTGCACTCTTTATTAAACTGAGTACACTTGAGTGCTGCTCAAAGACCTTAAAATGAACGGTGAAAATGGAAATTTTCACTCTGGCTCTCTGGTTTGGCCACCTTTGAAATTCTGAAACATTTGTAAAGACTAAATAAATGTCTGAGACCACCCCATTTTGATGGATCTAGAGCAAGGGGTTGCTCTGTGCTTCTTTGTTCCCTTTTTCATGCTTGCATTCACTTTTTGCTGCTTTTTTTCTTCCTCAGGAAATGTGCATGTTATTGCTTGAACTTTGGTTTGCAGAGAATTTACACTTTTTCTTTGCTTTGTTGCCATATTTCTGATTGCTTTTTTTTCTTTCTGCCTCCTTTTTCTTTTCTTCGCATTGTCATCTTCAGCCAGGCTATATAAGAGACTTGGTAAGTGACAGCAAACCTAAAATTAAGATAAGTTTGATTTAAATAAAAATAGTTTAAGACTTTACTGCCCTGTGAGGACTACTAGAACAAAACGCATTGAGGAACATAGAAACCCTTAATTTTTTCATGCTGATCCCCAGAAAACTATGCTGCAAAAGGGTTAAGTAGAATCTTTTTTATGCTAAAAACTGGAATCCGTTCCCATCCTGCATGCTAATGTTGAATGTGTGTCCAAATAGTTGGACATGGCAGCTGTGGCTGGTATTTAAAAGGAAAAAGTCCAGAGGTACAAGGGTAAAATCAGCTCCATTTTATCCTTTATTAACCATGATAAAAATGGCAGCTGGTGTTTCTAATACTCCATTTGATGTCCAGTAATATAAGGGGCATGACTTGCAGTTCAGAAACAGTAGAACAGCTGTGTAACAGCATCAGTGACTTGTTAAACCTCCCAAAGATGCTCTGAACTCTCCCCTATTCATGCTGTTGCCAGTGGATCTAGTATCTTGATGCACACTTTTTTTTTGCTTGTTTGCAATATCGCAAATGTAGCACCGTTGCCTAAAGGCAGTGTGTCTGATTGCATTCAGATCACAGCCAGGATTCTGGAGGCCCATCAGAACGTAGCTCAGATGAGTCTAATCGAAGCAAAGATGAGATTTATCCAAGCTTGGCAATCTCTACCAGAATTTGGCATCACACACTTCATTGCAAGGTCAGTGGTTCCTATATATGGTAAGATAAAGTGTCATGCGTAAACAACTCGAGCTCTTTCCTGTATTTTTAGCTACCATGAGGCATTTGTAGTCGGGAATGATGTCGTTGTGTTGGACCGGTTTCTGTAAATGTTTGCGCATGCACAACTGAGTCCGCACCCTGAACGTTCACATGTAAAATCTGAAATTGCTCATGTCAGTGGAAGGATTTGAAGCTGTTCCCGCATTAACTGAACTTGGCTGTAGCTTTTGAGCAGTAAGTCATGTCAGTGCCGGAAAGAAAGTGAATATTGCATTGGTTCCAGCGTGTGTTTTAGCAGTCAGGTCAGCGAGTGACTTTAAAGCATTTTTGCACATGTTTAAAAATTCTCTTTCTAAATCCACGCGTGGTAGATTCCAAGGGGGCAAGAAAGAAGAGCTGATTGGGATTGCCTATAACAGACTGATAAGAATGGATGCAAGCACAGGAGATGCAATTAAAACATGGCGATTCAGCAACATGAAACAGTGGAACGTAAACTGGGAGATCAAAATGGTAAGAGGATGTTGTTCCCCACGTGTCCTTGGCCCAAACATACCTTGCAAGGCTTGGCTTGAATTAGAACGGCGGTGTGTCACTTTAGGAGAGAAGCGTACCTTTGGCTGGGCTGTTTCATGGAAACATGCTGCTTCATTTCTTAAGCTAAACAGTATAAGGCATCCATGTCGGGCTTTACTATAGTCTCCTGCATCCCTGGGCTAGAGGGTCGTGTTGATGGTATCATTTGCCTGGCTGTATCTCTTGCTAATCAGTTTGTGTTTTGCAGGGGAGGGGAAGAGTCCCATAAATAGTTGTAGTAAGGGCCTTATTCACCTCCACTGTAAAATGCCTGCTTCTGCATTAGTTATAGTAGCTGCTTCTGACTTCGACCAGAGTTGAACCCAGCCCTGGGAGGAAATCTTTTTCAGGCTATCACTACTTCCAATGGGAGACTTAGATACAGAGCCAGCATACATTGGTTGGAAATGGTCGTAATTTGGCAGAAAAACTTGCCCTCCTCCCGATTTCTATCCAGTCAGTGTCTCGGGAAATAATCTTTGCTGCAAAGGAGCCATATTCAGTCCTGAGGAATGAAGGAGATTGAAAGTGTTTGGGCCTGGAAAAATTGTTGCATCTTCAGCTCCAGACCTGGTTTTGTTCAGACAGTCCCGGAAGCATCTGCCCTAAGGGAGAAACAAAACAGCGTAGGGAGAGGCCAGTTCTGCAGCCAGCACGATTTGTTCCAGACCGGCTCGTCCTCCCTAACCTGTATGCCTTGCACTTCAGGTCACTGTCGAGTTCGCAGATGACGTACGGGTGTCCTTCATTTGCACCGAGGTGGATTGCAAGGTGGTTCACGAGTTCATTGGTGGCTACATTTTCTTGTCAACGCGGGCAAAAGACCAGAACGAAAGTTTAGATGAAGAGATGTTCTACAAACTTACCAGCGGTTGGGTGTGAGTTTGATGTACTGTTTACAGAGAGAAACCCCCATGGCCATATTAAATATTTAACTTTAAAAGCTGTTGTTTGAAATATGCTGCTTAATAAAGGAAGCCTGAAATGTATCTTTTTTATTTTTTTTAATTATGAACGTTTTTGCATTACCCAGAGCAGTTAATACGTGCACTAACGAGCACTTCTGTTAATCTGCTATAACGAGACAGTATGTGAGCTGTGTTGTGGCACGTGTCGGGATCAGATTTAACCGATGTAGCTAGCCAAATTCGGAAGAGAGCTCTAAGCCATCTACTAGAAAGCTGTCCAGGCCTTAAACGATATGAAGTCTATTTATCATGTTTAATGCATGTGGTTTTTACTTTTGTGCTTTTTCTGTAAATTTGACATGTTTTTGAAGTTGTTCTACCTTCGAGTAGAAAGTTGATGTTTAATTTCACACTACATGAATTGGCAGGTGCCTGATGCTATTTTGAAGATATTGTGTGTGGCCTTGAAGAATGTTCCTCTGTTAGTCTGTTGTAGCGTGATTTTTTTTGTTAACTTTCCTTTTGATAATCATTTATATTGTCTTTTTTTTATTTTTACACCGTATTGTATTACGACACTTTTAGTATTCACCAGCATAGTCACTGTCTGCCTATGATATGCAAACCTTTTCATTATGATATGAAGTAAAGGTCTATGAAGTATAGGTTTTGTGTAACTAATGTAAAAACACAAATTTTATAAAATTGTACAGTTTTTTTTTTTAACTAGTCTCACAAGCCAGCTAGAGTACTGCATAGATCTCGTGCATCAGCATTAATGCTATTAGGCTTCTAAAAGATAAGGGTAGGAGTTTAGGAACGGATAGTTGCAGTTCAGTACCTTTTTATCTAAGTTAAGTCCGACTTTTGTTAGAGCCAGGCCGCAGTGTCTTTAATAACCCTGCCTGGAGTCAGCGGCTCCTGCCTGTGCACCAGCACCAGCACCAGCGCCGAGGGAGCCTGACCCACCTCATGCCAAGGAATTACCAGTCTTGTGTCCCGGTAGCCTGTGGTGGAAAGACTACGTATAAATGCATTGTATTTTAAATAAAAGGAAATCTTTTATTTAATATTCCATTTCTGGTTCCAGTTCTTGTGCTCTGCACAGTAAAAGGGTTTACTGGCCCAGCCTGGTCCCTGGGGTTACACACGGTGTTGCTGCCAGGGGGTGTGGGAACTGTACCACCCTCTGGCACATCAGGAGATGCAGCTGGCAAGGGATATTTAAGGTGACAAGGGGGGGTCTACCAGTGTCCAACAAACTGGGGGCTGCTGCTGACCAGAGAAGGTGAGCTCCCATCTGAAAGTGCAGAGAAGACAGAGCTGTTCTTGCCTCCTTGGCTTCAGTCTTCTCAGACACCCTTCCCTCCCATCATCGCTGGAGGCGGATGTGTGAACGACTGAAATCCCCATGCATGACGCTCATAGGCGCAAGGAGGGTGTTGCTGGCTCGCAGCTCACCAGCAGGTATTCGGGGGACTGCTGGGACCTGCCGTGGTTCTCCCTTCCACTGCACTGCTGCAGCTTTGCTGACAGCTCATCCATTTTCAGCCAGACATTTGGACTCTCCTTGCAAATGCCAGGCGCTTCCTGCGCCTTCTGCCTCTCTCCCGATACACCACCCAAGTCGGGGCAAATGGCACCTCCTGCCCCCTCCATTAGCATTTTAGCTGGAGGGTGGCTGTGCTCAGTCTCTCCTGGAAGAAAGGACTAAGAATTAAAGTCTGTGTCTGAGGGAGGACAGATCAGGCAGGAGAGGCCCTGCCTTCCCCAGGTTTGAGGGAAGCTCCGCTCTCAGCCCAGGGGCACTTGCTGTGCATGAGGAACAGACTCCAGGTTTGGACTCCACCAACACCCGCAGCTCTCGCCAAGGGCACTTGCAAATTCTGGCCGGTCCTTTGGGGTTTCACGGCACACCAGGGCACACGCAGGGGTCCAGAGAAGTGACTCCCCAGTCCCCCATCGCACCCCCAGGCCCATCCACCTCTCAATAGACCTTAGCTGAGTACCTCGGAGAAGGGACAAGCTGGCCTTTCCCAACAGGATCCTGCACTGGAGCAGAGAAGCCCCAGGCCCTTTTCCTTCTCCGTCACCAGAGGCTCAATTGAAGCACTTCACTTGTGTGAGTGACGTCAGGGGCCAGCGCATGGCGCACATGGACTGGGTCGAGTCCCCTCTGGTATGTGCCAGGCGAGCTACCCACGCAGCACGACCAAGTAGAGGACGGGGAAGAGGAACTCAACATCTGTCCCACACGCTGCCCGCTCTCCTTCCACTCCTCCCTTAGCTCCCCTCTGCTCCGGCGCAGTCCGAACCGCTGCCTGCCTTGCTGACTGCTGGTATCTGGTCGTTTCCTCTTCCTCCCCATCGGCTGGATCTTGTCTTCTGTTAGATTGCGAGTCCTCCAGAGCGGGGACACTGCTGCGTGTACAGTAACGCAGTGGACTCCTTATCAGCCTCCTAGATAGCGCAGCAGTCCTGATAACGACGGCTGTCGGCATTTGCCGTCCCCGAGCAAAGGGAGAGCTGCTGGCTACGTGGCACGTCCGGAGGGCTCCCTCCCCTCTGCTTACAGGTGCCTGGAGGAGCGAGCGAGGCTCGGGCAGCACTTGTAGCAAAGCCTTTCTCAGTCCTGGCCCTGTTGGCAAGTATCTCGGCATGCCCTGCTGTCACTCAGTGCCTCGTGGGAGGCTCGTAGATCGCAGCGTGCTGACTCGGTCCTGAGAGCCAGCAGTGGTTTGCCGTCATCCTTTTGTTGGCAGGGCTGTGACCAGCCCGCACCCAACTAGGGAGGGCGAGAAGCAAGCCTTTTGCCTCAACATCAGTTTGTGGATTGTGATTCCCAGCAGCTCCTTCACCTGCGCCAGCTCTCTCTCTAGGAGCACACGCCTGTCTGGCTCAGCTGCCAAGCGGCGGCCCCCACACCGCTCCCCGAGCCGCACTGCGGGACCCACCGCTCCCATTACAAACTAGCTTTTGCACCCTCCTGTTAGCCTCCTCCTTTGCCTGGACACAAGGGTCTCTGGGACGGAGACTCGTTTCACGGTGCAGTGCATAGTGCCGTAGGGCAGGCCTGAGCCAGGGGAGCATGCATCTTGCAAGTGCAAAGTGCCGCCCTGGACGTGGCGCAGCCCTTCCCAAAGCGGGAGAGGAGAGGTCGAGCACTACATCCGCAGGTGCCCTGCTGCCTGCCCGCCTAGGCTGCCAGGCCTGCAGCCCCTGGCCCTTTCGGGCCTGGCTGTTCTCCGCTGGTGCCCAAGGCGAGTGCTGGTGTATTGGCCACGTTCTGCCGACAGCCCCAGGAAAAGCCGTTTTAGGAAGGCGTTTTGCTTCTCCCCTCCCGTAGCCACGCAGAGCCCTTCGCGCGGTGCCGCACTGCAGCAGGAGGTCGTGCTTTCGCATGGGGCTAGAGAAGGGGGGAGGGGGGCTGTTATTTTTTTGGCAAGGCATTTTCACGAGTCTGTAACGGCTCCACATTCGATGCTAATTCCATTTGAGAGAAGAAAGCATTGATCTACTTATGAGGCTGGCTTAAAATGTTTGGGGGCAAACATGCCATTTCATCCTCTCAGCTGATGTGTAATGAGATTCCAGCACAATTTTGCAGCGGTGGGGCAGTGGAAGGGAAAACAACATGTCCTGATAAGGCTTAATGCAGTCTCCAGAGCTGTATTTGCAGACTCCTCTTGCTATTTATGAAGCAAGCTTATTGGGAGAAGTGGGGCTGGCATCGATCCGGCACGATGCTCCAAGCTCTGTCGGCGAGAGGCTCCCAGGAGGATGCAGCAGCAGCATTGTGGGGTCTGCTTCCAGCGCTGCGTGCCAAGACTCGGGCAGAGCAGCCTGGGGCCGAGCCCACGCTGGAGCCAGCTGGACTCCAGAAGCTGGGTATCCCCTGCCGGCTGCCCTGAGGGCCTGGTCTGGCCGGTTCTCTGAGCACGTCTAATGGACCGGCCCCTGTGCAAAAGGAGGCGGGGGGTGTCCTTGTTCGACAGCAGCCTGGTGCTGCACATGTTCCAGAAGGAGGGGAGCTGGGCTTTGATTGCTGCGGGGTTCAAACCCGTATCACCCCCTCCCGGAGGGGCTCCATACAGGCCCCGCAGGCCCGGGCAATGCGGCATGCTTTAGCCCCAGGTGTACGCAACAGAGCTGTAGGGCCAGGAGCAAGCTGGGCCCCTCCATGCAGCCCTGCCTGAACTGCCTGGCACAGGGCACTGCTGCAGGGCTGCCCGCACCGTGGTGCCTTCGCAGAGCGGCGCGGTGAGTGTGTCGTGCTGGCCTGGCTGGAGGGCCTGGGAGTCCAGGACGACCCTCGTACCCTCCTTGCTCTGATTCCCATCTTAGCTCATGATCTGCTGCTGTGCCTGGAGGTTGGGTTGGTCTTTGGAGGAAGTAATTCCTCTCCGTACTTTGCGGAGGTCCCTCAGTCAGCACCGAGTCCAGGGCTTCCACGCATTGGAGCTGAGCCGCAGAAACTGGACCGGGCAGTAGACTGGGCCCTTTACAGCTAAGTCATTGCCCCCCAAGCCACTGCCACCTGCCCTGTAAGTTTGCAGCGCGGATACGGCCAGAGCACTGGGACACCTGGGCTCTTCCTCTGCTGCTGCGAGACCCAGGCCGGATGCTTTTCTTCCCAGAACGTCTGCTAAATTTGAGACTGAAGGAATTCAAAAACTACCTGCATTCGTGCCCGGCCCTGGCCCCTGAGCCCTGGCTGGTGCTTGTGGGGTTACAGTCCCACTTCCCCAGACGCTTGCCCTAATTCCTGCGCGACGCGCCCTCGCCTCGCACCCAGCCAGGGCTTTCCCTGCGCAATTCTAGCTCAACAGAGAGGTACGGTGGCTCCTCGTAGAGGTCTGATCACCCTGCTTGGCACCGTGTAGGAAGGGTGGAGACTGTCCAATGCACTGCAGACAGCCCCCCCACAAGTCTACTATAGCCCCCCAAGGGGCCTAGTTTATGGAGATGGGAGATTTTCCCCTAGCTTGCTCCTTTGGCCTGTGGGCTACAGGCAAGCAACACGCGGGGGCATCCGAACTGCAAGACCTCCGAGCTTGGGCCTGCACATAGGATGCCCGCCATGGATGTGGGAGTACCTGAAGCCCCAGGCTGGAGAGTCTGGGAGGAAAGATACTTGCTGGTGGCAGTGCCACATAGATTTCAATGCCTGAGCTCTGCTCAGTTGCTGGAATTGGGAACGGATTTGACTGATTTAGCCTGAGACCTGAAATTTAAATTACAAAAAAATGGGTAGCATAAGGACCCGCCTGCTGCTCCAGCTTCCACCACCTAACACCAAGGTGTCGCCTGCGCTGCGACACACTTGCATTCGCTTACCTGCTTTGGTCCCCCGCAGCACACAGGGCTCACCAGTTACAAATACGTCCGGCACCCGCAGCTCTCAGCTCAACAGGAATCGTTCGTCCTGTGGAGGAAAACACGTCCACGGCTGCTGCTAAAAGATCTGTCCTCACTCATTTCTTGTAGCAGCCACAGCTTGGGTCCATGCTGTCAGCTTAAATCCATCACGAACTGCGCAGCTCCGCCATAGCCGTCTCCCGTGCAGGGGGTCTGACTGCTTTGAGTTCCCTGTGGTTGTACAAATACCAAGGGAGCCTGACAGCACTGGTAGTAGTGCAGTAGTGCCCAAGGCCCTGCCGGGACTGGGCCCTGTTGCACTCGGAGCTGGCTGAATGCGGAGAGAGCCCCTGCCTTGAGATGCCCACATGCAAACTCAGGTGGAAGGACATGACTTGCCCAGGGTCGCTCAGTAAGTCAGTGGCAGAGCTGGGAATAGACCCCCCCACTGCTGCCATGCGTGCACAGCTGCTGCTAATACAGCTCCTCCCTTGTCCAGTCCCGCCGGACATCAACCCGGCCCTGTGCCTAGTGCCAGCTTGCCCCTAGCCGGCAGTTCCTGCCCTACGGTTCAGGCCGCTGACTTCCTTATCATGGATATGCCCAGGTGTAGCTGCAGCGCCTGCGCAGGCAGCCCTGCTGCCGGTCCCTTGTATGACTTAACCTGATTTTACAATGAAAAAGTTAAAGCCAAACCTAAAGTGATGCACCAGGCATGTCGTCACCCCGCGCCCTTCACAAGACCGCCAAGCGACTATAGGACCCCGGGCCGGGGGGAGCAAGCGCGGCTCCAGCTGGCACGTGGGTATGCGCGCGCTGCAGTGCTGGCCGTGCAGTCAGGGCTGTGAGGAGAGAGCGCGCAGCCGTAGGGAGTTGTAGCAGGGCTAAGCCGCAGTCCAGCTGGCGTTTCACCTGCCTGGCCACAGCCAGGGCCGTCAAGCAGGAGGCATCAATCAATGGCTCGGTTTTGGGCCTGCTGGAGGTTGCATCCTGCGCCCTGGGCGAGCGTCACAGCTGTTAGCAGGGCAGCCCTGTCCCCTCCCTCCCCTCCCCAGCTGCCAGATGGCAAAAATCAATAGCAAAAGGCAAGGAAAGAGTCGCTCATGTTCAGCGCCCTCCTCCCCCTCCCACCGAACGGCAGTGGCCAGCCCTCCGCAGCCTCGGCCTTTCTGCCAGCGGTGGGCGACGCGCCCGAGCGCAGTTCGAGTGTCTTCCCTGTTCGCTGGGGTCTCTGCAGCCGGAGCCCCGGGGGACCAGGCAGCCGCGCCGGAGCCTTTTCCGGCAATGCCTGGACCCCAGTTCCCGTAACGCCGGACAGACGGAAATGGGCAGCGCGGCCCCAGTTTGCAGCCGCGAGGACAATGACCCAGCGGAGCAGCTGCACGGGGGCGCGCGGCTTCGCTGGCCGTGGCAGGGGAGCCGGGGCTGTTGCTCGGAGGCGAGCAGCCGTTTGGCCATAAGCATTCGGGTGGATTAGGCCCATCGCACACGTGCGGCCTGCCGGCTTGCTGCGTTTTCACAATCGACCTGTCAAGAGGGGAAGGAAGCGGGGGGATCTCGTGCTCCTGCCGTTGGACCCTTTGCTGTACAAACGTAGGCGCGACCCGTGCCCTGGCGGGGTAGCTCGGCTGGCCTCACAGCGGGCAGGGAGCAACGGCCTCTCGCGCGTGCTCTCAGGGCTTGCTGTGGCCGCTCGCCTCTGGTGACCGATTTCCGCAGGAAACCTGTCATTTCATTTCCTCTCGCTCATTCATCCCAGCCCGACCGGCACACCGCAGGCTGGGAAAGGAGCGGGCCTCGATCCCAGCTCCGAGCTACACAACGCCTTGCTGGGTGTCCATTTGCAGTGTAGATGGGGTTTGTGTAGGTGCCCCCTGAAGCAGGCCGCCCTCCCTGTTACACACACACACACAAGCACACGTGTGCACACGCAGACACACGTGCACACGCACGAGCTACAGAAGAGAAAAGGCTTGGGAGTGTAGCCCGTGCTGCTCCGTCCGTCCCCCAGCGCCGTGCCGTGCAATGGACCCTTGGGCCATTGCTGGCTCCCCCCGGCCCCGCAGCCCGCCCGGCGCCACGTGGCTCTGATGCGACGTATCAGCGCCGTCAGTGTCGCCCCCAAGCAGCTGAGACCCCAGCATTTTCCACCGCCCACCAGTGTCATTTCCCAGCCAGCCCCACCCTGCACCCAGCACCCGCAGAGCTGCCACTGCTTCAGAGGAAGAGCACAGCCCTCTCTGCCTACTCCATTACCTTACCTTTGCTCTCTCCCTGCCTCCCTTCACTTCCAGTTCTCGAAAACAGCCAGCAACAGGCATGGATAAGCCACCGAGCCAGCTCAGGTTGGCTCACCACGGACAAGTGGCACTGCCTCCTGGCTCG